TAAAATTACATATTAATCCCTTAAATTTTAGTATATTACAAAAATCTCCCTCAAAAATTTCAAATTAGTCCCTAAAATTTTTATTTATTTAAAAATACCCCCAAAATATTACCACTTGATCCCCAAACTTTTGATATATCTTCAAAACACCCCTAAAAATAACTAATAGTCTATAAATTTAAAATATTACAAATACCCCCCTAAACCCTGAACCAGACCAGAGAAGCTGCCGGGTCTCGATCGAACCGATCCGACCAGCTAGTCCAGTCCGGGTTTTAATACAGAGCCCCCAAACCCAACCCGCCCATCTCTAATCTTTACTTTCTTCAAGAAAAAAAACAAAGAATGGCAGCAAATGCTAGGAAATAAGAAAAAAAAATTAATTTATAACTAGAGCATACCAAAAAAAAGAAAAAAATTATAATAAGAATTGAAGCAGGGTACATCAGAGAGTTACTTTCCAATTTCCATTTTAAATTAATCCAAACTAATTTGACATTACTGGCGTCCATTCCTAATGGACGCCCGTCTAAACGTAAGGGACGGCCGTCCAAAATTTATGAACGGTCGTCCCTAATGTTTATAAAATTTTTTATTGTATTTTAATCAGGGACGGGCGTCCTTTAAATGGGGACGCTTCACTAGAAAAAAATTGTTAAACAAATCAGATACGTGTTACACGTAGGCCGGTACACATTTTCGGTGTAAAATTTTCGGTGTCCCTAGCATTATTGTTTTTTATTTTCCTCTCTGTCGCCGCTAAAACCCATCTGCCTCCTTCAAGGCCATCGAGGATGATGAGCCGAACATGGAATGAAATTTAATGTATGTCATTGCTGCCTTAATAGAACTAGTAAATTCCCCACCACCAGGTGATTTGCCGATAATGAGAAAATTTTGTTTTTCAAGTAATCTATATTTACAAAAGCAACATTGTTTGTAGTATGCCTTACAATATTAATTACAGGACAATAATATTAATTTGGCTAATTAATGGATTTAATATATTAGCAACTATATGATATTAGAGGGAAGAATCTAAGGCTTAGAAGGAATACTTTTTAGGTTTTATATTGGTCAAACTTGTGGGGCTTTTTTTGATAAAGTTTGGATGAGGGTAGATAGGTTTGTCATTTCCATCTAGCATTATTCATTTCAAACCTAGCTTTTCATATTTCATTGTAATATTTACCCTTTCTACTATGTCCAGCGTAGTTTGTATAAAATTTGGTGTCTAAGCATGCTTATTCCTGATGTTTTTATTGGTGTTTTATATTGTACTCCTTTAGGTTTTACCATGTCCATTCAATACTCTTTACCTAGCAAAAGAAAGAGTTCACATGAGGAGATCAATCCTAATTTCGAGTCATAAAAAAAGACATTGATTGCAAGTTCCCAAATGCCAACTCCAGCTGATAATAGTGATCGATTGCAATCCCCAGTTGATGAAGGTACTGAAGTAATCAAACCAATACGTTCAAATACTCATTCTTCAATTCTTGTCGGAAGTGGAAAGACTAAGTCAGTTGTATGGTTACATTTCACGAAAGTAAAAGTAGATGACAAGGACAAGGCAGAGTGTAACTATTGTCGTAAACAGCTTGTAGGTGGTTCTAAAAATGGGACAAAACATTTGCATGATCATCATAGATTTGTCCCAGGTGAAAGTACCAAGATGTATCACAGAAAATGCTTGTGGGGGTCCAAAAAGAGGGATCAAATAAGATATTAGAAAATTACCAATTTGATCAAGACGTGGGGAGATAGGAGCTTGCGAGAATGATAATTCTACATGAGTAGCCGCTTAGCATGGTTGACCATTCGGGGTTTAGAACATTTTGTAGCACTAACAACCATTGTTCAAGGTTGTCTCTAGGAGAATTATTAGGAAGGATATTATGGAGATTTATGAGGTTGAAAAGGAGAAGACAGTAATCAAAACAAATGATATATGACTGTCATAGCACACTTTATTGATAACAATTGAGTGTTACAAAGTCGACTTCTAAGGTATTGTATTTTTAAGTTTTATTATTCTTATTTCTTCATTGATTTTTTTCATTTATATTAATGACTGAATTATGTATTATTTATATTGTAGGTTTGTACATGTGCGTTGTCCCCAAACTAGAGATGTGCTTACAGCTGCTTTGATGGATTATTTTTATGAGTGGAATATAGATACTAAGTTGTTGACATTAACGGTTGATAATTGCTCCACTAATAATGCGATTGTCCAGGATCTATTGGGAGAGCTTCCACGTTCCTCCCTTATGCTACATGGTGATATGTTTCATAAGCGTTGTTGTGCGCATATTCTAAATTTGATTGTTTAGGATAGCTTATCAGTTATTGGAGAAGCTATAGCAAAAATTCGTGAGAGTGTTACTTATTGGACAGCATCGCCTAAAAGGGAGCAAAAATTTGATGAAGTGGCACGTCAAGCAAGGATTGGAAGTACCAAGAAGTTAGCTCTGGATTGCAAGACGTGTTGGAACTCAATGTATTTGATGCTTGAAACAACTTTTATTTATAAAGGAGTATTTCCTCGTTTAAAGCATCAGGAGCCACAATATAGATGTTAGCCAAGTGAGGAAGAATAGGAGTTGACAGTGAACATTATTGAAAAGTTAAAAATATTTTACAACACCACACTCTTATTCTCTGGAACTAAATATCCCACCACCAACATTTATTTTCCCGAGATTTGTGAATTTAGAATGGAGTTGTCTAGATGGCTTACATGTGAAAATGTCATGATAATGAACATGGCAACACAGATGGACGAAAAGTTTTCCAAATATTTGGATGTGATTCATGGTGTTATGGCGGTTGCAATTGTATTAGATCCTAGATATAAACTGAAGTTGATAGATGTAGTCTTTCCCATTATCTATGGAGAAGATGATGGTCCACATGAGATTAGGAGGGTTCAAGAATTATTTAGTGATATGTTTTTTGAGTATCAATCTAAACACAGAAGTTGTGAATCTCCTCATCATCTGCAACTTCTTCTCACTTCGATGTTCCTAATTCTAGTGGTCTTCGGAGGATGTTGGATACTTTAGTTGTGATTATGGAGAAAAAATCTACTTCTTTCTATGGCCATGGAAAGTCAGAGTTGGAATGTTACTTAGAAGAGAACCTTGTGCCTAGAACTCCTGACATCGATATATTGTATTGGTGGAAGTCAAATGGGTTTAAATATGCTACTCTACAAAGGATTGCTCAAGATATCCTTAGAATTCCTTTGTCCACTATTGCTTCTGAATCAGCATTTAGCACTGTCGACAAAGTAGTGAGTCTACATCACAACAAACTACATTTCGATACATTAAGGCATTGATGTGTTTCTAAGATTGGTTATGGGCTAATATAAAAGGTAATCAAATAAAATTTATATTTCTTCAATGGAATAAAGATTAAAAAAACTGATTATGATTTATTACTCAATAATGTTTATTTATTCTTATGTCAGGTGAAAATACTTGTTCCACAATTTATGATGACAATGATGCGGATGATGAGGTACGATAGAGTTGATGAAAAAAATTCTTTCTTTTTTCTTTTGTCATTTCAATACAATATAATACTATTTTATATAACATATTAACTAAACTATATTTTTTTATTGTTTAATAAGAAATTAAAAAGGCAGATTTATGATGAAAGTGAAGCTTCTTGGTGCCATGTCTGGGATTTAGGACTTTGTAATTGTATAAGTGGTTGTGTTATTTTGTTGGGATTTTGGGTGTGTGCAAATTACCGTTTTGCAATGGCTATTCAATTGGGATTTTGGGTGTATGCGAAATGTGCTGTTGAAATTTTGTACTTTTGTGAACCTGTGATGTTCTACAATCTACATAGTTGGGTTATCACAATGACACTTTTGTTTGTAGTTTGACACTTTTACTCTCTAGGCTTTACACCAATTTGAAAGAAAGTTTCCACAAATGTTATAAGTGTTTATTATATTTGTTTTTATATATTCTTATGAGTATATAAATATGGCTTGTAAATTGTAATGATATTTTAGGCTTTTCACAACAAAAAATTTTGAATGTAAGTTATGTCTTATAGAGGACTAATAACCCTTTTTTAGTTTTCATTTTATTTATTTTGGGTATTTGAATAATTGTTGGACTCATGACAATTTCAAGTTCCCCACCTTGACTCTTTAAGAATTAAGATGTTTAACTGAAAATTAGAAATTGATCAACAAGGATTAAGACCCATTCGTGAGGAAAATTCCCCATCTCATTACTGCCCAACTGGGGGAAATTATGTTCCCGAGGCGATTAATACCCATAGGGGACTAAATTCCCCACGAGGAATTTTCCCCCCAACAAGGAGGAGTAAGGTATGTTGGATCATCTCATCTCCATAGGTCAAGGAAAGGGATTCCCAGACACCCCCAACTCGGGTATGGGTATTTCCCACAAAGTCGAGGATGAAGACCCCATTCCCCAACCATTGTTTTAAAACCCAAACCAGAGGGCACCCATTTTGCTGCCCAGGTCACGGGTTAACCGATCCAACTGATTGGGCCGATGAGGTCAACAATAATTTAATCTTTAAAAAATTACATATTAATCCCTTAAATTTTAGTATATTAAAAAAATATCCCCCAAAATTTTTAAATTAGTTACTAAATTTTTTATTTATTTCAAAAATACTCCCAAAAAATTATCAATTGATCCTTAAACTTTTGATATATCTCCAAAACACCCCTAAAACTAACCAATTAGTCCCTATAAATTTAAAATATTACAAATACCACCCTAAACCCTGAACCAGACCGGAGAAGCTACCGGGTCCCGGTCCGACTGGACCAGTCCGGTCCGGGTTTTATTACAAAGTCCCCAACCCCAACCTGCCCATCTCTAATCTTTACTTTCTTCAAGAAAAAAAACAAAGAATAGCAGCAAATGCTAGGAAATAAGAAAAAAAAAATTAATTTAAAAATCAGAGCATACAAAAAAAAAAAATTATAAAAGAATTGAAGCAGGGTACATCAGAGAGTTACTTTCCAATTTCCATTTTAAATTAATCCAAACTAATTTGACATTAAAAAGGAAAAAAGGAAAAAGAAAAAAAAAAAAGAAGAGAAGAAGAAAACCAGACAGTACAATTATAGCAAAAGAAAAGAATCCGAGTTATGACTGAGTGAGGCATACAGGGTTATTTGAATTATATCCCATAATGAAGAAAAATCGCTCAGCACATATGGGATTCACAATTTTTAGGCAAACGTTCGCGGCCGGAGGCGCCAATTTTGTTCCCAGAAAATTGTTTGTTCCAATCAGTCTCGAGAGATTCATCCTTGGCAAGCAGAACAGAACATAGCTGCCAAGAATGTTTATCAGCTGATCAACTGGCTAAAATTCTCGTCCTTTATACGGCATTTCCTGTAAACACAAAGTGTTCAAATATTAGCGAGTACTGAAAAATTTATGTTTCCAGAGCGCATCATCATCTTCAAGAGGCTAAAATAAATAAGAGACTTTTCAGGTATGGTAATGGAAATTAGAGTAATCATAAAGTTGGGGAAGCACGGCATTAAATAGTTTATAACAAGAGGAGAATTGCTTACAGGCTGCTGGTAGCTCTGCATGTAAAAGAGTGGCCGGGATTGGCCAACAACCATCTGTTGTCCATACTGCAATAAGATGAATTCAGGTAAATAATCATGCGATGAGAACATGTTACTCTATCCAACGCACACTAAAATAATTTGAACGTCATGACGTACCTGAGGTCCATGTGGGTGATAATAGGCTTGGGGTGATTGCATTGGAACCTGAGGATTATATATGACAGGCTGGTGCCCAGCAAATGCAGGTCCAATCTGCAAGAGATGCAAAAGTCAGTCACAACTATAAACAAGTTGGACTAAAAAGCTAAAAACTAATCTCTAAAAAAGATAATGTAAATTCACTCTCAAAACATGCTGAAAAAAGACAAAAATAATCCAACAGTATTGGCTATAATTACCAACCATTTAATCAAGTTGCTTCTTAAAAGATCCTAAAAAGCATATATAGTAACTGAACCACATCATATTATCTGGAAGAGGGAGATAGGGGGAAAAGAATAAAAAACAAATCATGCCTGACTGATATGTGAATCCTTAACCATTCACTCTGAAAGAATCCATCCCAAACCATTCACAATACTTAGCTGAAACTTGAACAGAAGGTAAAATAATCAATTAAATGGTAAAGTACTTACTCCAAAACCTACGGGCATGCCAGGGATATGTGGTACTGCAGATACATTAGGTGGATGATAGAAGGGACTATCAGTGACAGGGGATTGGGGCCTAGCACCCGCTTGAGATGGGACGAAACTCTTTGCGTTAGGATTGAGTTTAAATTCCTGATACCCACATTTAAAAGAATATCACATTAGCGAAAAAGGAAATTCAAGAAGAGATCATATTTAAAATTAAAAAATTAACATTGGCATTGTCCAGTCTTTAGTAACGTGAGCCCCTGACTACACTGGAGTAAAATGATCACATAAAATCCAAAATATCAATTGCACCTTGGCATGAGGATTCAATGTTGATCTTTCCGAAGACATAGAACCCCCTGATGAGCTTGGTGATAAACCAGGACCACTAGAAGCTGAAGCAGCTACTGCACATTCTGAAGTGGATGACGCAGAACTACCAGGCCTTCCACGAGAAATTACAGATTGTGGTTCTCCAGGTGCCTTACTAGGTGCCGGCGCCTCCAATTGTTCACCAGGTGAACTGGTCTTCTCATTGCTCTTTGATGGAGCACGGGATGGAGCATAAGCAGAGGCATTTGCAGATAGTCCCACTTTGTCAAAACCATCTACGTTGCTCTCTAATGACTCTGAATCTGCAAGAAATAGTGCCCCAAGTTAGCACTGCAATCTTCCTGGGCAAACAATTATAATATAACACCTTGTGAATTAAAACTACACCCCCACCTTCTGATTTTGACAGTTGAGCATCCTCCGGTAGCTACATTAAAATACCAGCAATTGAAAAAAAAGGGTCAAGTATGTTAGAAGCAAGTAAAGTTTACGCACTTGCATAATCACGTCCAAGTTTCCACGAGGAGATGTGCAAAATTAATTCAGGTTAAACTCACCAGATGCTTATCTAAAAACTCCTTAGCATAACTATTTCCTCCATGTTCACCAGGCAAATTCTCATGGACCCTGTAAATTTCAAATCTTTTACAAGGAATATATCTGACTCTATAGACAAGTGATTAACATATAATCAAGCAAAACAAAAGAATAGTTATAAAAACCTTTTTTCACTGTCCAAAGTAGAAATACTTTTATGTGGAGTTTCAGATGCCATCTGTCTAACAAGATCATAAGAAACCAAGCGTTGTGGATCTGCAACAGTACTAGAGTGGGAAGACTGCGCCTCATCCTGCTTCAACAACAAGAAAGCAGAATATTCTTTAGGTAAGAAGACAATCAAAAAGAGCCTTGAAAGAAAAGACAGACAGCATCATAATTACAAATATCTTCCATAATTTGTTAACAGAATAATTTTCTTGCAAACAAATATTTGAAGTCTGTCAAGAAAAGTTTAATAGTTCGAAAATAAGAATAGCCAAAAGCTTGCATGATAAAAAAATAAATGCTTTTGGCTTCATGTGAACAAACTCTAAAGATGCAATTGCTTCTGCAACATAGAATGTTAATAAATGATGACCAAAATAGCAGCTTTGTAAAGGCAAACTTAAGTTTTGTGACCAAGATACTGCAAGAAACTTAAAAATATGGCAATACAGTCTAGTGCCAGCATTATAGCACAGTAACATCATTAAAATGATAAAACACTTTTTTCTTTCTGAAATACGACTGAATGTTGGAGGGGTGAACTTTGCATTAACTAAAGTGGCCAAAGCCTCAGCTCCACTTCATATAGCATTCTCTCTAAAATATCTCTGCATCAAGAGCACATACAATGCCTCTGTAGTTTCATATGAAAAATGAATATCAGTTTTACAGGGTGACATAAAATCAGTATATAAGAAAGTAAAACATGGTTTGTAAATTTTCCCCATAACATTCCAAAACCTCCCAGGTACTCTATGCTCAACTATAATAAAGACCATAATGTTATGGTTTGCAATCGCCTACCATTCACCCCCACTATACATGCTAATATAGAGAAGTGACTATGTCTCAATATACCTCCCTAATCACCTAAAAGAAAAAAAGTGCTCAGAGCTCCACCATATTTTACCAAAGCAGGCATGAAAGTTTTCAATAAATACTTGTATTTTCAACAGCTAAGTATAATGACACAAGTTCCAGAAAATGAGATTATCGATTGAGGAACTACCACTAACGAAGAGCTTGAAGACACTCGAGCTGCATCATTTCTCTTCCCACTGGTAAAATCAGCAGGTCTCTGGCTCACAGAAGCAGATGGACCACCAAAGGTTTCATCATTGCGTGAATCCAACATTATATCCTCATCTTCTTCATATCCACTATCATCAAGGGCACTATCACGGTAGACCGAAGAGAATCGGGTCTCCTCATCGATATCAAAACTTTCATGAAGATTCATGCCTCTTTCCTGTTGAACTCGTGCATGAGCAAAGGTAAGCAATTTGGCAAGACATATTAACCCCATAAAGTTCTAAGACGAGAATGCGATTAGTAAAAACCTCACCTCTGCTAAATGAAGATCTTGAGTATCCTCACCCTCAATTTCTCTGGCTATCCTCATAGCTTCTCTTTCCAACTCTTTCGTTTTGGGGCCCCTCAGAAGTTTTGTTGTATAAATTTCCTCATCGAAAGTAGTCTTCACACCAAATAATGTTTCATTTATTTCAAACTGATCCCAGTTCCTAGTACAAAATCAAGATAAAAATTAAGCCAATTGATACAACATATAACAAAGGAGGATGTTACAGAAATTACAATAACAGGAAAATACTTTCTTTCAATGGGAAACTTTAAAAAAAAAAAAAAAAACTCCAATAACAAGAATATTCTCCACCGCAATATATTCAACTCACTAAGCTTAGTTCCAACTTTTGAAGATTAACTGCAAGAACCCATTTCACAATTTTACCATAAAGCCAAACTATTTCATAGATTTTCATTTCAATAACAAAATCTTTCCTACATATCATTAGAAATGTATGCTTATGATTAATATTTTTTGGATCTATATGTTGAATACCAGCCACACCTTCATAACATAGTCCATAGCATTATAAAATTAAAAGTTGTTCATAATAAAGATCATTCAGGTATATTATAAATTGAGAAAGGAATATATATATATAAAACACAACACAGTTAAACTCATGGCTGCAATTCCAACACATAGTAAATTGAAGGTTGCTGATGGAAACGATGCAAAGCATTAGGAATGATCCTATTGATCAAGATATATCAGAACAGTAAAACAATTACCAAGAGATATGGAGAAGAAATAGTTATTATAACAACCTATTCCAGGGGCCATCAAATATATTTTCCAATTCAGGTAGATGCGGGGCATCTTCATCTGGTATCCATGGTTCTAGCTCTCTTTCTACATCTACATGACGAGACTGTGATATGCATGAATCTATCATAATTTCATGCTGCTTTTCTCGCTGTAGCTCACTTGCCAATCCATCGCTAGTTACAGCCACTTCCTGGAATCATCAATGAATTTAACTAATGATCAAACAAACAGTACCTAAATTTAAATAATTCATCTGAAAAAAGGCTTAAATATAATTCTTGTCGCCGCAGAATTAATAACAATTAACTACATTTTTGCTGCAATTGAAGAGGTGCAACATATATACTGTAATTCAAAAGATACACACATGGACAATTTAAACTAAATCATTCAGCAAAACTATATTTGAAACAGCAGAATTCCACAAATAAGAAATGCAGCCCAACCTTTGCTATAACTTGCACAAGTTCACTGGCAGGTATAACAAAAATACTTGAAGGTGCCTTGCTAACAGTCTCCATTTTCTGGCCTCGTGGATTACCATCTTTTGTCAACCGAGCCATTTTCAATATGACTCCTAATGTTCACAAACGAGAAACTTTAGAAAGCAATAGCAAAACTAAAAAAATGTATGCTTAAATAAATAAAAGCAAGGAACCAACACCAATTCACAAAAAGAATGATCGAACCATGTTCTTTGACTACAATAAAAATCAATAGAACATACCAAACTCTTTTTCATCACTAGTTGCGTGAAATATTCCAGAGTATATTGATCCATTTTTCGTTTGGACATCCACTGGAAGTCCTATAAGACTTGTTGTCACATATAATAACCGATCATGGGAAGGGCTCTCAAAACCTCCAAATTTGCCACCACTCAGTGCACCTATAGGAGCTGCCTTTAGAATGAAAGATGATATAATTTTCCAATTTTTTCAGTTCATGAGAAGCTTACCTGTACTTGTGACTCTAGCAGAGTTAGATTTTCCAGATGGCAATTTATTCTCCAGCCTAGTCCCCCCTTCTCTTTCACCTCTTCTACGGCCAAATCCATTAGCAGTGGACTTGGGAGGCACAACTTGTTGCAAATTCATCATCAGCACAAGAAGCCTCTACAACCTATGGTAAAAAATATTTTATCACTACTAAGTCATTCTGCTAATTCGCATCAGAGGGTAGAGCCTCAGCAAAGCATGCAAATGAATAGATGTAAACATTATATCAACACATGAAAACTAAACAGAAAACCAAGTGAAAATCAGATGGCGTATAACAGATTTTGATGGAAACAGAGAGCTATCATACCAACTAACTAAAATACCTAATCAGGTATAACCAAAAAGAACAAGGAATTAAGTTCACCACAATGTTTAGGTAGCTACAGTCATCAGATGGTGACTAAATTTCTCTAGAGTTGAAAGCACCTAAGTGACATTAGGTCCTTGTACACATTAGCATATCACTGAGGAAAAGTTGCACATAATACTTAGACCAAGTTCATCAAACAGCCACTAAAATGACAATTTTACAGCAACCATGCCTAGGCCTATTTCCACTCTTCCTGAACGCTTTAGTCACTCACCCTAAATGGTCCAAAAGTACACAATCATTGCAAAATGCTTTAAAAATCCATGCTCTCTTATTGAGTCAAGCATATAACCGTTTTTTAAGACTAGACCAACCATATACCCAACTGCAAAACCTTGGAAAAGAAACTAAACTTAACCTGCTTTTTCTTCTCTGAACCAGAAATATATGAACCAACTTAGTTGCCTCCTGCTGAAATCTAAAATCTTTAGGAAGTCAGAAATTCTTAGCATTTCACCAAGTAGATTGCCCTAAGGAATTGAACCCCAGACTCTGAGGGAACAAACCAATGGCTTACCACTCAATTAATTTCTTATTAACCTCAAAACAAAATTTCAACTTTTGAACTATGAACAGAACACAGATCTCTTTAACAGCACTCAACTGGAATATCCAACAACAACCGAATAGGTGAGTATCTTAAATAAGATTCTAAACTAAGACCCTATCATTTGTTCAAACAAAATCCAACCTACATTAGCAGATTGATCAATCCTCCTCAAAGAAGCCATCAATAATACTCTATGCAGCTACATATCCCAATCCAGAATTTTATTCTTTCTCCAAGAACAATGGCTACAAAGCAACTAAATCATATTAAAAACACCTTCACAACCTAAAATGACATATCCAAATCCAGAATTTCACTATCTGTAACACCAATAGCTACGAAGCAACTAAATCACATTGAAAACATTCCTAAACTACAAAACGATATACCCCAAACACTAAAAACACCATGGGAGAAACAAAGGCCTTACCATTCAAACAAGCCTTTAACTTCAAAAAAGATTCAAATGTCAACCTATAGACATAACAGAAATCTCTTTAACAGCATTCTACAGGAATACTCCAAGCATTCAATATGTATATAGCGAGCGCCAAGATCCTACACTAAGACCATCTCATTGGTTCAACAAACCGTCACCATATCGATGAATCCTCCCCAAAAATCCCTACCAAGAGTATCTCTAGGTGCCCAAAAACTACAAGACAGAATTTCACTCTTATCTAAGAACAATAACTACCAAGCACCAAATCACATTCAAAACAGCTCCACAACCTAAACCAACATATTCCAAACACTTATAACTTTGGGACAAACCACAGGCTATTGCATGATAACCCGCATGCAATAAAAATATCTTTCACAGTATTCTAATGGGATACTCCCTAAAAAGAGCAACTCAAACTACATGTAAATATCTTCAAAGCAACAAGATCCTACACTACGTCCACATCATCAATCCTCCTCAAACATGCTACTAAGAGTATCTCCGGCTACATCCCAATCCATAATTCCACTCTTCTCAAACACCAATAGCTCGTAACTACCAAGCACTTAATCACATGCATAGCCTCACAACCCAAAACGACATATCCTAAACACTTAAAACGACAGTAACAACAAAATCATCAAACGGAACGCATATTTCACTATATTCACAACATTCAACATCGAAATCATCAAATTCGAAGGCCCAGAAACCCTAATTTTCATAATTCCATTCAAAATAATAAATTTATTTCATAACATGACGGGAAAAACTAAACAAAACAAAATAAGCTAAAACTCCTAAATAAGAACCTAACAATAAATGGAATAAGAAATTAGAAAAAGAGTAACGAGAGTTCGATCGCGTACCGTAATAAGTAGGGAAAAAAAAGGGGTAGAAATAAGTGGTGAGTTGGGGGAGTTCGAGTCAGAGAGAAGAATTTTGACTCGGGGGGTTTAGGGTTAGACAGAAGGGACGATCACGTGCGAATCACGAGGCAACGAGAGAGAGAGAGAGAGAGAGAGAGAGAGAGTACTCGCTATGATCCAGAGAGAGAAGAAAAAAATGGGAGCAGGACAGAGTGAGAAACTATTAAGGAACTAGAGGAGCTATCCTCTGTGTGCGGGTGTATGGTATACAAAATAGACTCATAAGTCATAATTGGGTTATCACTTATCACTTATCTCTATTTTATTTATATATTTATTTCTTTTTAATCAAACTTTATCATTTGATTTTAAATTTTAAAATTCAGGATCAAGAAATTTGAAAATAGTAAAAAATAAAGGGAGAACGACTTACACATACCCAAGGTTTGCCGTAATGATAAAGTGGTATCCAAAATATTTTAAAACGATAAATAGGTACCTTCCGTCATGTGCTGTTAGTGATTTTCGTTTGATAATCGTAAAAAGACTAGAATGCCCTTGAAAGTTTGATATTTTAGATTTTTATAAATTTAAAATTTTTAAAAAATCCCCTAGGTTTGCTAATTTAACTAAACACCCCAACATATAAAATTTTTGTAAAATAACAAAAATACCTCCACCACTCGCAGTGCCAGATTCCGGCTACCACCCTGGAATTTGGCAGGCAAATTGCGTTACGATACAGACCCGTCGGATCTATGTCGTAACACGTCGATCTGGCCAGAAAGGGCCAGATCTACGTCCAGATCTGGCCGTCACGAGTTTTGCGGCCTCAACGGTCAGATCTACGTCCAGATCTGGCCGTCGAGAGTTTTGCGGCCTCAACGGCCAAATATACATCCAGATCTGGTCGGAAAAGGCCATATCGACGGGTTACAACACAGATCCGACGGGTCTGTGTCGTAACGCAATTTTTCAGCTGGCACTACAAATGATGGGAGTGTTTTTGTTATTTTACAAAAAATTTATATATTGGGGTGTTTAGTTAAATTAGTAAACCTAGAGGGTTTTTTAGAAATTTTTTAATTTATAAAAAACTAAAATATTAAACTTTCAAGGGCATTCTAGTCTTTTCACTATTATCAAACGGAAATCACTAACAACACATGATGGAAAGTACATATTTATCGTTTCAAAACCTTTTGGATATCACTTTATTGTTACGACAAACCTTAGGTATGGAAAGTACCTATTTATCGTTTCAAAACCTTTTGGGTATCACTTTATTGTTACAAACCTTAGGTATGTGTAAATCATTCGGCCAAAAATAAATATGTAAAATTAAATTTATATTATTAATCAATGATGTTATGGGACCAAATTTCTTTATTAAATCACGATCGATCAGATCATAATTATTTTTATTTTTTCAACTATAATATAAAAGTGAAAGCTGATTTGATAATATTATCGAGTCAATAAGATAGAACGATCACGATATCAAACAAGAAGTTGCGTAATTACAAGCATATTGCTGATTCAAACGATTACATAGGTTACAGAAGGCCAAAGGCTAAAACACTGTCAAGAAATCAACCCAGAGCCACAGGAGTGTTCAATCCTTGTTTTTTTAAGCTTGTGGAATAACAAGCTATAAAGAATATAAGTTTTTTTTTTCCCAGGAACCAAACAGTGGAAGACGAAGAAGAATCCATAAGACAGGCGATCGGGACAAAATAGAACTATAACAAAGTTTACATGATGAAATCTGATAACTAGTCGTCGAGCATCCGTGCAGATAAAGCACTTGTCTGGAGAAGGCCATTTCCACCAAAAAAACAATTGCAGTCAATAGTTCCAAGCTGGAAGCTGCAGTGAGAAGATATGACGAGTTTAAGCATAAAAGGAATTGAAGGCGGCGAGTTGATTCCGGCAAGATCTATCGCTAAGATCCGAATGCTGATATAAAGGGACATAAAGAAGTAGTTTAACTGTCAGAAAAGTGCATACCCCTTGAAATTACAGTTGCAATTTGATCTTCTCGGACCACTTGAAGATGTCAGAGTGAACTTGATCACCTCCCAATTCTTCTCCTGTAGCTCCAGCTGCCACCCTTAGAATATCCTCGATTAGCCCAAAATTTCCCATTATATCGACATGATCACCACTTAGAGTGCCCCGACCTTCCAACAGATTGGCTGGAGGGGAATGATCATACTCTCTAATGAATGTCCGAATTCCTGAAGGATTAAATCTGGTTTTTCCGCGCCAACCTTTAGCGCACATGTATCCTGCACTTAAAACAGGTACAGTCTGATCCCCGTCAACAGTATAGACTCCATCTTGAAGACAACCATCTTCATCTTCATCATCAGCTGAAGTATCGATCTGAAATGGAATGTAGCAGTCGGCAGAAGAAGAGAACTTGTAAATATAACCTCTTTCAGTTGGTAAGCCAGATCCATAGAGAGAAAAGATTTCCATATCTGGAGCATTCGGTAACCTGCAAAACCAGAGTGATGCAAGCAAAGCATTCAGAATAAATGAGCATTTACATCTTGAAAAAAAAAGAAAAAAAAAAAAAACTCCCATGAATTGCAGTAGTCATTGAATAGACCAAGCAATATATAAAATTTAAAGTTACTTCCAATCTAGTGAAATGGATTATACTGCAAAAGTTTTAGTATACTATTTCTATAAACAACTTTGTTTTAAAACTAATGCCAAGAAAGAATATCAAAGCAAACCAATATAATCTGAAATAATTAAGTTATAAAATTCTTACTTTGTCTCCAAGGGATTTGACCAGTATTTGTAGTGCTGGTATTTTGGGTCATCCAAATTGTCAGCAATCCCATACGAGAAATGAGCACTACCACGTGCCATCATTTTTGGAGCAACAAACTCTAGCAGATCTACAAGTGATCCAGCTGTGTAAACTTTATATTCAGCTACAGCTTTGATACCTTCAATTCCCATTTCATGGTATTCCGTCCACACATCACGACAGGTACTATTTGCAACACTACAACCCTTATAAGCTCCCTGTAATATGACAAAGCCAAACAAATAAACCCAATGAAAAACAGAATAATGAGATGCTTAACACAGTTCAGAATGGAGAATATTCGATTATGCAGCAACAAGCCAAAATACAAAAAGACAGGTAACATGGTAAACTGATTTCTCAGTGCCAATAAAGAAAATAAGACTAACCACAAAATTGTCCATCAGAGACACAAAAACATATCATAGTCCATCTGCATTTAGTAGAGCAGTCTTCTGAATAAAGTTGCAAATATAGTCTGACTTTTGGAAACTATAAAAGCTTTTCACCATCATTTAGCCAAATGGTAGAGAGCTAAAGAAGTCTAAGCATCAAAGACTGAAACTAAAAAGACCATCTATCAGCTTTCAATATCAACTATTCATTATTTTAATGAAAAATTGCTCTGAAACTTCTCGTACTTAAAAAAACATTTTAACTCTCAACATGTAAGGAGAAGTTCCTTCATATTAAAAAATAAAAAAGAAAGTAACGTAATGTGGTGCATCTTCTGATTGCACTTCCTACTGCAAATTATTTCACTCTCAAGAAAAGCAGAGCCCAGTGGAGTTACTTCATTTCCAATTCACTTAAAGGTCATTCATCTAGAACTTAGCTGTTGGAGAATTGAGTAGAGTGAGATAAAAGAATAAATTAACTGACCAGAAAAATTTGAAGTGTACTAGAGCAAAATGTAATACCACAGCCTTACCCTAAAATCAATTCTTTCAATCTCAGATGAAGGTGCAAATGCTACATCCTTCCCGAAAGATATAATCCTTCCATAGTTTTTAAGCTTTCTTTGAGATGCCATGCTTCCATTCTCGTCTTTATTCACAACATGGGTGTCAATTTTCTTTTGCTTTCTTATGCTAGGAGCATAGTCTTCTTCAGGTGACCAGTCAAGATCACCCCATATAGTGTCCCCACCTTTTGGTATCATTGACATGGTTGAATCCCATGTGCGTGACATCTGCATTACACGTTGTAATGTTTGAAGGCGAAATATATCATTGTCCAAAACGCCTGGTGTAATGGCCCTGCATTGTGAGAGACAGATCCTTGGTTTTTCATTATGTGCAAGATAACATGCATAAATGCATCTCACATAATAATAAATCAGTACTAAAATTAATTGCACCTACCAAGAGCTGCTAGTGCCAAAAAAGATAGCATTCTTATTAGCAAATATGAGACACCATTTTTGCATCTCAAGAATGAAGACTAACATTTAGGGATTGTGAAAACCTGATTTGCATCTAGCTGTAAACATGAAAGCAGACAAGAAGAAAGCAACAAATCTAAAAAGTAGACAGAAAGGAGCAAAAGCCAAAAGTGTGTATTTCATTAGAAAAATATATATACATATCACATCCAAATATTCATTTCAAAGCCACATAACCATTCTAGAACAACCAGGCTAGTGATACAAGCTAATGAAAAGAAACACCAACACTACACTTAACTTCAATTCCAAACTTCATGTACGAGGCTAAATAAAAGCTTAACTAAGACTGCAGAATTTCAGAAGTAGCTAAGCACCATTATAAATAAAACAATAATCACACTTCTGATGAACGAAACTCAAAACTTTAGCCCAAAAAGACGTAAGACAATTTTCGAATTACATGTGCATGGGTGTGTGGCAGACATTGTCCTGTAGACAAGGACAGCCAAGAAACAAGCTGACAACACTACATGAGATTGAGTAAATCAAGTATATGGGCATACTGGATCTCGGGATATTTACCTGACAACTGCAATATCTTTGGCTTCAGCAGATAATAGCCCAGCTATAGATTTTGGAACACCTAAAAATGGTCCACCAATGTTCATCACTGCCTTTATATGCTTAGCACACCAATCAGGTCCGCCGCCACCACCCATTGGAGCTGGTGCCTCAACCCACTTCATAAAATGCAAGAAATACAAAACACCCATAGAATGAGGAATAATAACTGCCTTGTTCCCCCCATTTGTCGATACCATCAATTCTATATTACTTTTCATGCGGCTTAGTGATCGGTCCCTTACCTGATAAAATTGAGTTCAAAAAAGATAAAGTTCAATGCAAGTATTCCATGGACAGAGCAGGTGCAAATTCAATGAATTCCTAAGGCATTGCACAATATCAACAAGAAATTTAAGTTGAGAAGAAATACTTCAGTGTTTTGATATGAGATTCTCCAATCATACGAAGCCATATACATGTTTTTCTCCTCATATCCAAGTCGTGCCAAGTTAGCAATCATAACTGCCCAAACAAAATAACCTGGAGCAAAATAATCAGCAGCCACAAGTCCAGTGACGGCTCTGACCCTTATGCCAGGAGGATCTAGTCCAGTTTCATTATCCATTGACATGTGCTCCGCCCAACATAGAGGTCTGCAAAATATCCATCAAATTATGTAAAGAAGCCCACTACCATAAGATGCAACCAATGTAGCTCATAATGGAAACACAACTAATGTGTAAAAGAAACAAACAATGCCAACAGCATTACTATGCAACACACGTAGTTTATCTCTAACATCACTTGTGGATTGTTTCATAAACATCATATTGATTGGTAACAGCAGTTGCACAAAACTGAACTCAGGTTTCACCAAGAAAGTTAAATTGGCACAGATAATTTATAAACAGCTGAGCTTTTAACCCAACATCCTTTCCCACTTATATTCAGTTTCATTTAATTGTAAAATAGAGCAGTTATAAGAACCCAACAACAACATTATTCATTTTGACAAATGGTTTATAATGTTCACCAGATATTGAACTGGACCAGGATTTATGGAATCGTCTCCTATTCATAATCTTTACTATGTTAAAGAGATGGAAGAAGCTGTAAATTTCCACACTTGTATTCTACAATCAGATAATTCATGTAAGAGACCAGATGCTTAAACACATGCTGTTGATAAATTTGAATTTCTCATGCAGTGAGGCTTTTATCACCAATATTATTTTTGTTCTATTTTGATGTTATATTCTAATTCAAAAGAGTAAAAAGGTGAATAATCAAAAGGTTGATCTTAAAGGCAAGTGTTTGAAAAATCAACTTGAACAAAATTCAATCTTAAACTCATATCTAAAAGGCAAGTTGCTTAGTATTGAAACAAACTATGTTCTGCTTTCAAACATGGAAAGTAGTTGGCAGATAACTTGTATAAAATTTCTTACACCATGATTATCAAAACGAGGCAGATAATTAGAACCAAATTTAGACTGACCTCCAAAAAGTGGAAAATCCAATAAAACAACTTCAAAGCAATGCAACCAAACTCTAATCCATCCACTATAAACGACAAAACAGATTACCTTTGTATTCAATTCCTCATCATATTTATGTTCTCAAACAAACCAAACACAATATAAATTTTCATCATGCGACACTATGGGGGTGTTTATCTAAGCTTATAAGCTGATTATAAGCTTAGACAAACTAGCTTATAAATTCTAAAATTAAGCTGATCTGTTTGTTTATAACTTTTTTGAGCTTATAAGCCAAAAAAATAAGTTGAGGAGAAGGTACTTTTTTCTTGGGGGGGGGGAGAGGGCTTATAAACACTCTGCTTATAAACTAATTTGACCAAGTATATTACCACATTATCCTTGTTTAATTTTAAAATTTCATGGTATACCCTTGTTTAATGTAGTACCTTTTTTAGTCATTTTATAATAAAATATACTTATAAACCACATTTTACCAAACACGTCAACTACTTATCAGTCACTTATAAATACTTTAACTAAACAAATAATTGCTTAAAATTTCAAATGCTTATATGGTAAAATTAGCTTATAAACACTTGTTGCTTATAAGCTAGACAAACACCCCTATTTACCCCCATATTTATGCCTACTCGAAATTTTCTCCACTACCCCCAAAAATCCTCAAAACCATATGGTCAAATATACCAACTTACCAGCAAAATCCCCAAAAGCTTCCCCCACAAACCTCATAACCACAACCAAAAAAAAATCACAAATCTAATTTAAATACACATCTTTACCACCGAATCACTCGAAATCCATCCACTAAAACTCATTACCAACCCATAGAACAATCAAAATGGTCTTTATAACACTCAAAAACCTTCCTTATTCATCCACCACCGTCAACAGTCAACACCATCAGCTTATAAATACCCTTTATATTCTTGTTCTTAGGTGAGACTGAAATATCACAACTCAAATCAAACAAAATTACAGACAAGTAACAAATAAAATCATAGAACAAACCACACAAACAATCAATCAATCAACAAATCATGATTAAACAACAAATTTATCAAATACCTCTTATAGACCTCGCCAAAAGTGCCACCCCACAAGCGTTTCCTGAACAGCCCTTCAGCACAAGGGTGGCCTTCCCACAACTCCAACCCACCCGTCACGATTCCGGGCACGAAAACCACCGGATGCTTCACCTTCAACCCCTCCTTCACCAGTTTCACACCCGGTGGGTCCGGCACCGGCCCCGTTATGGCCTCCGTAACGAATTGATTAAACGACGCCGGCATGGCGTTGTACAAAAACAATAGAAGCCACCACGTCACGCATATGCAACCAATAAGCCAACAACACGAATCGATGCACGACCATTTCTTCTGCCGCGTTTTCTCATTTTCAGGGGCTTTTTTGTCCTTTCCAGCTATTTGTTTCTTCTTATCATCTTCTTCGATTATATTTGGCTCTGAATCATTGGTCTCCGAGGTCGTGGTTTGTTTTCTTCTGCGAAGAAAAGACATTTCTTTTTTGGAGGACCTTTTTGTTTCACGGGAAAATTCGTTCGATTTTCCAGGAAAAATACTAGAAGTTACTTTGTTTGACTATCCGAAAAAAATTATCCAGCTTCGTCAAAAATAGTTAAAATATCTTCACTCAAAATACAATAACAAGAAGAAGAAATTTAGATTCTGTTTCTTTCTCGAGAAAAACCTTCTTCAATCAGTTCATTTCTCAAGAAAACGAGATTAAACTAATTAAAGAAATAAGCACGTGCAACACGCTCGATAGTGGTGGATTAACTAATAATAAGAAATGCGTTTAGCGAGAAAAAAATTCCTTCAATTACTTCGTCTTCTCGAGAAAATATTAAACATAAGTAACAACAGAGACTTCAACGAAGCTGAATTAAATTAATTTTAATCTAAAAAACCTCGGAACGTTCTTGAAGGTGGTGGAGTTCCGAAATGAAAAAATTTCTGAGAAAATCTTTGGATTATTTTCTGGGGAAACAAACAGGGGTTAGAGCCAATGATTATTGTTCAGGGTAATAAATGCTTGAGTGACTGGCAGGTGAGATTCGAAGCGTGACGCTGATTGGTGGGTGATTCTTTTGATGGATGAGTGGGTCCATATGGCTCGCGTATGCAATGAACGTCGAACACGTGGTGGGATTTTATTAGCTTACAACGTGGATGTCAGTCATGGTGTTCTATCAGTTGGAGATGAGACGAGAAAAGCATGGGATCACTGTCATCACCACGCTAAAAACGATTCGTTTCTCATATAATGAATTAAATTAAACTAGATTTAGTGGGGTGAGCCTTGGGCTTTTTCACGGGCTTGAAGGAAGGTGGGCTTGAAGGAAAGAGTTGGGCCTATTTAAGTACCGAAATGAAAAAGGCTATAGCCCATTACAATTGTTATAAATGTGATCATACCATTTTTTTTAATTTTTTTTAACTTGAAAAATGTGTGATATTTGTCACTGTTCTAAAACCCAGCCTGTCCTGGCCGGTTCAATTAGAACTCTGAGCCTTCACTAGGTCAGATTACAAAATTTCTTATTCATTCAAACCTTAAAAATTTAGACACCAATCCATGAACAATTAAACGCTAGAATATTAAAACTTTTAAAGAGAAAATGTTGATGAGTGCAATGGTAGCAACGACGTCGATTTCCGGTAAGTGAATCAACCGGAAATCACAAAACAATGTTGCCTGAAAAATCCTACTGTCACCAGCGAATGGGTGAGGGGTGAGGTGAGTTGTGATTAAGAGACTGAAGAGAGTGTTTTCGTGATGATAAGGAGTGTTGTCATCGCCAGAAACAAACCTTATTTTCCAATGGTGTTTGGGGTGTTTTTGCAAGATTAAAAACATATAAGGACTCACAGAACTTTTAAGGGTATTTTTGTTAGATTTCAAAACTTTGACATCAATTTCACGCGCCGGTCAACACCCAACCACTTTGCCAGGTTTCACCTCGGGTTGGGTTTTAAAACATTAATATTTGTATGTTTTATCATTTTTGTTTTTAAAATAAAAATAAATAAATAAATAATAGACACATTCAATAAATTTAGTTAGTGGATCTTTTAACTTCAAATTTTCAACCGTTTATATTTTACAATATCCAATAGATGTAAGAAAGAGTTTGAAGCTAGCCTGTGTAGAAATTCTCTAAAGGCAGTAAAATATTAGGTCCAAGAATATATATGCTATAACAGCTAGACCACAATCCACTTACCCTGTAATCAGTTCATAAGAGCTAAATGTCACATTCTTTGTTGGAGCATTTATAGACTTTGCATGTGCATGATGAACTACAAATTTGCTCAACTGGTCGGCAGTGACGTGTATTTTTGCATAATGAACCCCCGCAATATGTGCAACATGATCCAGATGCATTCTTTTCTTCATCCTCAACAGTAAGATCGCCTATTTTTCTTTTCTTAACCTGCTGCTTTCCTGTGTGTATGTCTAAATGGTCTGGTTCCGTTGTGTCCCTATCCTCCGGAACTCTAAATGAGCTCAGATGTCCCTGGTCATAGATAGATATATCAACGAGAAAATTAAATGTAATTATATGAAAACCAATCATCAGATAATTATGTATTGTAACCAAACAAAATTTAATATAAAAAAAAACAAACTGGAACTATGAAATTCTGAGTTTTCTCGTTTTTCGAACATGATGTGAAGACATGTTTATGCAAGTCATACTTTGTCCTTGGTCAGAATTATATGAATCTTCTGGTTTCATGGATAAATTTTTGCAAAATAGAACTTTTTTAAGTCAAAAACATCTTAACTATTGACAGAAAATTAAGTAACAGTATCAAATGCACTAACCCGCAACTTCAATTGATGATTCACTTCTGCATAGAGTTTCACTGACTCTTCCTTTAGATCTCTTACTTCCTGCAAAGACCTCTTATACTCGTCCTTTATATCTCTTACTTCTTGCAAAGACCTCTCATACTCTTCCTTTATATCTCTTATGTCCTGCAAAAACCTCTATCATGTTGAAGTTATACGAGCTAAGTACAAAAAGTTTAATATCAAAGTCACTTGGCATTCATGAATTTAAGTTACTCTGCATTCATGAAGCTCCCATTGTAGCTCAATATTGCTTTCTCTGCATTCTTGAAGATCCTGTTGTAGTTTAGTATTTCTTGCTCTGCATAGTTCAATTTCCCTTTGTAGCTCAGCATTGTTTGCTTCAAGTATAGACATTTTGAGTTTGGGAATCTGCAAAAGAAGACTTGGTTAAGCAACCAAGTCCAATGAATAACCACACACAAAACTTGTTATACACTAATATACCTGAAGATCATCACTCCACATCCTTTGCCTATGTGCTGCCATGAAACCACAGTTTCTCTAAATCACAGAATGAGAAGCATGACAATCAAAACAGTGAATATGTCAAATAATAAAAACTTATACAGAAAACCGAAGTGATAAACTTATGCAAATTAATAGATGAAGATATTGGATCAATACAATGACAATTATACAGAAAACCAAGTGATCAACACTAAAATTGATAGTTTTCCAGTACCCATCCATCACAAAATTAGAAGCACGACAATCAAAAACAGTGAATATGTCAAATAATAAAAACTTATAAAGAAAACCTAAGTGATAAACTTATGCAAATGAATAGATGAAAATATTAGATCAACACAATGACAATTATACAGAAAACCAAGTGATCAAACACTAAAATGAAACCATCCATCAGAAAATAAGAAGCACGACAATCAAAAACAGTGAATATGTCAAATAATAAAAACTTATACAGAAAACCCAAGTGATAAACTTATGCAAATGAATAGATTAAGATATTGGATCAATACAATGACAATTATACAGAAAACCAAGTGATCAACACTAAAATTGACAGTTTTCCAGTACCCATCCATCACAAAATAAGAAGCACGACAATCAAAAACAGTGAATATGTCAAATAATAAAAACTTATACAGAAAACCCAAGTGATAAACTTATGCAAATGAATAGATTAAGATATTGGATCAATACAATGACAATTATACAGAAAACCAAGTGATCAACACTAAAATTGACTGTTTTCCAGTACCCATCCATCACAAAATAAGAAGCACGACAATAAAAAACAGTGAATATGTCAAATAATAAAAACTTATACAGAAAACCCAAGTGATAAACTTATGCAAATGAATAGATTAAGATATTGGATCAATACAATGACAATTATACGGAAAACCAAGTGATCAAACACTAAAATGAAACCATCCATCACAAAATGAGAAGCATGACAATCAAAAACAGTGAATATGTCAAATAATAAAAACTTATACAGAAAACCAAGTGATACACTTATGCAAATGCATGATCAACACAATGAAAACTATACAGAAAACCAAGTGATCAACACTAACTGACAGTTTTCTAGTAACCATCCATCAAAAAATGAGAAGCATGACGATCAAATACGGTGAATATTTTAACTAATTAAAACTTATACAGAAAACTAACTGATAAACTTCTGCAAATAAATAGATTAAAAATATCAGATCAACACAATGAAAATTATACCGAAAACTAAATGATCAACACTAAAATGACAGTTTTCCGGTATCCATCCATCACAAAATGAGAAGCATGACAATCAAAAACAGTGTCACCTACTGCTGAAATTGAAATTTTTTTGCTGTAAGACAAATAGCCACCAGGCAAATAAATAGAATAACGAATTAGAAAAAGAGTTATGAGAGTTCGATCGCGTACCTTAAAAGGGAGGAACTAAGCGGTGAGTTTGGGGGGGCGTTCGTGTCAGGTAGAGGAGTTCTGACTCAGTGAGTTAGGGTTAGACGGAACTAAAGCCATGATCGAGTTCAAATCACGACGCAACGAGAAAAAGAGAATCGGAGAAGAGGGAAAGGGAAGAGGGAAGAGGGACAGTAAGACAGAAAGGGCAAAGAAAGAGAGGAGTGATCCTCTGTGTGAGGGTCTATGCCTCTATGGTAAAGAAATAGAGTTTTATAATTTGATTTCTTTTATTTTATTTTGAGAACATTTTTTTATTAAAATATTTATTTAAAAAAGGTATGAAAATATTATGTTATTAATTAGCAATATTATCAAATCAAATCTCGTTATTATATTAGGGTTGATTCGATCGCAATTAAGCTATCAATCACAATATAAAGATGAAAATTGATCGAATATGTTATCGAATCAATAATATTATCGAACCAAATTCATTATTAGATTTGATTGATCGAATCATAATTGATCAATAAATAGGTAAAATTTGAACGATATGCCATCAATTAAATAAGACGATAAAACCTCAAAAATGAAATATCAACAATAGTCAAGCCATAATCAATTACAAGTTCTTTCGTATAAAATTAAATTAGATTAAGGTTTCTGAAATAACAAAGCTCCCTCTGCCGTTAATGAACTGTTAAATTTATATTGTTATGAGTTAATAATTATTATAAAATTGATTTTTTATAGTTTATTTTAATGCCTAAAACTTAACAACATGGGAAATTTTGGTTATTTCTGAAACCTCATGGGGGGTTTTTGTTATTATATCAAACCATTGGGGATTAATGTTACTCTTAAACTTAAATTAAACAAAAATTAGTGGGCTGAGCCTTGGGCCTCTTTACAGGCTTGAAGGGAGAAGTTGGGCCTAGTTTGGCTACCCCAAAGAAAAAAAAAAAGGCTAAAAGGCGATTGTAATTGTTATATAGTATTAACCGAAACTGTGTCGTTTTAATTTGTTTGTGAACATAATATAATGTATAACCCGTGTTCTACTTAATTAAATCAATGATTTATCAACAAATTAACTCCTTTTTTGAAGGAATTAAAGACGATCATCAACTTGCAATGGCCTTTATTTTTTTAAGTTAACTTATGAACAATTCTCATTTTTTAATTGTATTATGTTGAGTAAATATACCGATAAACAGTGGTGGAGCTATCTTCAATCTATGTGGCAATGGGTAGCCCGTGCTCCACAAAAAATTTTAAAATTTAATCTTGATCTAAAGATAATGATTCAAAAATCGGTCTTCTTTGTCAACCATCAGGTTAATTTGACTATTATGTCAAATATGTTCCACCAATCTGGAAAAGGCCTACATCGAAACCTTATGGCTCATGGGACTCTTTCGAAGACCCTAATCATAGACCTCCCTCAACACATTTCTTCGTTCGATTCGGTTTGCATGGAGGAAGAAGAGTCATGGGTATGCAAATCTTGAGAGATTTTAGAGGAGGACACAACTGGAATTTGGTGAGAAACAATCTCTTGAAATATATAAATTTAATAACTAAGTCTTTTTACTCCTCCTATTTGTGAATTCGACACTTTGACCCAAAATCACATCCAAATTTCTCTCCTCCCCACCCTATTAATTGAAAAATTACTTTTTAATCTCTATAATAATTTTTTTTTTCACTCCACTCCTACCAATAAAGTAAAGTTAAACGATCGTCTTTAACTAGAACGATATCGGTCTGAACTAGGACTCTTAACCTTAAACACTTTTTCACTTTAAACTTTTGTACACTTATAACTATAGTAATTTCGTCTATGTGTGATCATGTGTCACATAAAAAGCAAAGGGCAATTGTGTATTTCATTTAATATTCCTTTATAAGCATGCTTTAGGATTAAAGCCAAGAGATATGTCTTAAAGCTTTCATATAAGTGAAATATTAATTTAAAATCAAAACCATCCTCGTTTTCAATTTATACTTTAACTAGCAAAGCAGACAGAAGGGGCAAAAGGGCATTGTAGGCTTAGTTGGAAGACAGCTAAATTACTTGATTTAGTTCAAACTTCTAAGTATAGAATCCTCCATTGCTAGTAACATCTTAACTTTCACTTTGCATTAAAGAAAAGTATAACTAGATAGTTATTTAATTAATTAATGATAAACTTCCCTTTAATATTCGTAGTTAGGGTCGGATCGAAGTTTCATATTAATGTTTCCATTCACAACACGAGAGATTAAGGAGGTGTTGTCTAAGCTTATAAGCTGGTCAAACTAGTTTATGCTCTAAAATAAACTGACATTTTGTTTATAACTTTTTTGAGTTTATAGGACAACTTTTTTTTTTTTTTTTTTATATAAGCATCTGATAAGTAGTTTGACCTAGTATATTATACATCCTTATTTAATTTTAAAATTCTATAGTAACCATTGTTTATGTGTACCATTTTAGTCATATATAAAATGTACTTATAAACCATATTTTACCAACACGTCAACTACTTATCAGTCACTTATAATACTTAACCAAAACACGTAATTGCTTAAAATTTCAAATGTTTATAAGCTAAAATTAGCTTATAAGCACTTGTTGCTTATAAGCTAATTTTCATAAGCTCAGACAAACACCCCCTAACTGACGACGTAAGGTTTATGGTTTGTTCTACAAAAATCTAGAGATTAAATCCTCTAACGAGTACTTACATGATCAAACAACATTATTTTCTGCTTCTTAAACTATTGCTTCCTGTTTCTAAATATTATAGAGTTAGTAAGATTCCGTTCTAAATAATGGGATCAGGTTTCCCATTATTAATGTTATATTCATGACACGCAGATTAACTGATGATCAGGTTTGCGCTTTGCTCTCACAAAATCTAGAGTTCAAACCCTCCAACGGGTACTTATGATCAAATGACATTTTCTTACTCTTAACTATTCTATTTCTAATATTATAGAGTTCGATAAGACTCCAGTTTCAAATAATGGAATTGGTTTCCCATTACTAATGTTTCTATTCATGACACGAGAGATTAGTAAACCATTAGATTGTAGTTTGCTCTCCAAAAATCCGAGTTAAATCCTCTAATGGGTACTTACATGATCAATGACATTATTTCGCGCTTCTTCAACTATTTGTTCCAGTTTCTAAATAGTATATATTTGATAAGACTCCAGTTTTAAACTCTGGTCGTAAAGTGATCCCCAAACAGTTTTGGACTAAATAAAGAAAAATAACAAGAAAAAACATGGTTATTATAGTCTTGTAGATAGATGAACACGAAGGGTTCCTTTTTTGGCTTTTTAGGGAGATTTGGTGAATCAAGACTCAAGGCTGAGAAGCTTTTCAGGGGCCTGCCTTGGATAAGCTTTGTGGGACCTAGTGGCCATGCATCCGCAATGACATATGTTTCACAAAACATAAAAAATGGTTCTTATTCAAAATAGATTAATAATTTTGTAACATCAATATTTCTCTTAAAAAAATAAAATTTCAGTCAAATTCACCACGCAAAAATAAAACTTGTTTTTATGTAAATTAAATGAGAATTTTTTGTATTTCGATAAATGTCTTTCTTTCTGTTTAGTAGATCATAGATAATCGTTATTATTCAATGAATGGTTTATTTAAAATAT